AGGGGCGATTTAACGGAGGGTTTTTTGCATTACGAGTTTGGGAGGCTTATACATGGGGTGGAGGGGCTTATTTTCGGAATTTTATGGTATTACACAATGGATTTGTTTTTGTTCAGGTATTACAAAACTAAAGTTCAAGCCTGCATTCAACCCTTACACTGAACCAAGTATGGAAGTGTTTAGCTACCACGATGGTAAGAAAATTTATCTTTTTTAGGAATTTCATTTAGCACATAGCAAAATAACAAATGTCATTAAAATAATATGCCAACAGGATAGATGCTTCACATTGATTTGTTTGCCTGCGTGCCTTTTGTTGTCACTGTATTTTAAGCTGTGCGTAGTGGTTAACATTAAATTAATCCCCTATTTCTTTCCTACCTTTGTTTAGTCAGTAGGAGTAAACTTATGCAAAGTCATTTTAAAGACTAAAACTTGTCCCCTATTTTCGTTGATGAGGGACAGTATAGCAAGTAAAATACTCTAGCATGTGGCAAATTGATCTTCCTACTTGTGTATCTCACTTGCTCAACTATCCCTGATAGTTTACTCACACAAATGTGTGAAGAGAATACATCTAATGACTTTTACTAAGCAAGTGTGAGGTATTTGAGAATGAAGGACAATTTTCCAGTGAGATTAAGATTCCAAATCAACCTTATTTCAGGCCTGAAGAAATGGGTGGAAGTAGGAAATTCTGGAGTTTTTAGGCCCGAGATGTTGTTACCAATGGGATTACCAAAAGATGTTGCAGTCATTGCCTGGGGACTTTCTTTAGAAAGGTAAGAGTTCAGTCTGTCAATTCTCACAACCAATTTTTGAAGGAAATGCATGGGGATCTTTCTGGAGAATTTGCATGAGAATATGGAGACGTGGCCTTCGCTCGTGTCGGCCCCCCTCACTATGGAACTCTCTTCCTTCAGCTGTCAGGAGTATCCGAGGTGTTAGGTTTTTAACCAAACTCTAAATTGAAGAACTTTTTGTTTTGTTTGGCGTTAATGCCCAATGAGCCAATCTTTGTACAGTAATTCAGTGTTTTATTTTCATTTTCTCTTAAAAAGTGTACTGGTTGTTGTGTGTTAGTGTTTGCCAGCTTTTATTGGCACTTTAGAATATGTATATAGTTTTAGTGCTATATAAAATGAATTTATTATTATTATTATTATTATTATTATTATTATTATTATTATTATTATTATTATTAACTGAGTTCCTACAACATAGCTCATCAAACATTTGTTCTTTGTAGACCAACCATGATCAAGTACAAGATCTCCAATATCAGAGATTTGATAGGCCACAAAGTGGATCTTGAAATGGTTCACAGGAACCCCATTTGCCTTCTGGAGAAAGCATGAAATGATTAATCATTTTTTAAAATTTGGTGCACAGTTTCCTAACCTGTGTTCTTTAGCTGTAGATTTATAACAGCAAGTCTTAGTATTAAAAAAAACTGTCTTGTATTGAAACCCAATGTTTTTGAGTAGGAGTGACATACAGAAATTGACTATTTGCCCTTCTTGGGGGGCAGTTAAAGGTTATGTAAGAAATAGATCACTCTTTTACAGCATTATTGAATGGGTGTGGTGAAAACCATACAGGGGTTGAAAAGAAAAATACTGTAAAGAGAAGTCTTTAAAAGGCCAGGCCCATGATTGGCAAGTTTTTAGACCATTCTTCGAACATTCCGAATTGGTTGATTACATCCGTATTAACCAGTAAGAGTTTGAATCGCTACTTTGATGTAATAATTAAATTATCTTCCTGGAAACAGTTCTTAGTTTTCTGAGTTTACAGGACTCGAAGAATAAACAAAGGTTTTTCACCTATCGGAAAGTGCATAATTTTTCATTACTTTTTTATCATAATTTTATGGTGTACATGTATATATGTTATAGGCTTTCCACACTTTTGTGTATTCTTGGGTTGCACGTGACGTCACCAAAAATCAAACTAAGAAACCATCGATTCTTCTGAGTTTCTACTTTCACGAGGTATGACAGTACCTAAACACCTTTATATAAACAAATTTTTGGTTCGAAAGGGTTCTTCGTTTTGCGAGAGAGGACGCTTGAATTTCCAGGCTTTTGCGTGACGCGGCATTTAGCTGGCGTCCGGGAAAGTTCTTATGTGGGTTAAAAACATTACCGATTTTGGGAGATTTTACAATCTAAACATTCCTTGTCTCAGAATAAATATTACTGTAATCTTTATGAGTTCCTTAAGCAAAGAATTCACGTATTAGTAGGAAAACTCAAAAACAGATGTTTCTGTTGGTATCCGGCGGCCATATTGGTGTTCCTGAAAGGGACACCAACAAGGCGTTTCCATACAGAGCTTTATAAATTTAGGCAAACCGTTTTTCCCAATATCTCGCATTTGAAATATTTCACAGACCTGATGCTTGGCAAAGGTTTTTGTATATTTATCTTTTTTCATTCCCCAGATTCTAGTCCTTCTGTATTGAATGGTTTGCATTTTTATTTTTCATTGCAAAACAGTGCAAGCCGAGAATTATGTCATGTAAACATAGTGTCACATTATGTGTCATGTTATTCCCCATAAAAGAGGCCATGCTGGGGCAAAATTCTGATAAATGGCATTAGATGGCCTTAAAAACAGATACGTTGGGTTGAAACTGCCAAATTGACAAGACAAACACATCCCAAAAACAGAGTAAAATACCAATGGTCGTCCCACTCGGATGACTGGAATGACTAGGATGACTAGAGTGACTTAGGATGACTGGGATGACCAGGATGACTGGGATGAGTAGGGTGACTCAGGATGACTTGGGATGACTTTGATGACTAGGGTGACTTAGGATCACTAGGATGACCATGATAACTGAGATGACTAGGGTGACTAGCGTGACTTGGGATGGCTAGGGTTACTTAGGATGACTGGGATGACCATGATGTCTGGGATGACTATGGTGACTAGCGTGACTTGGGATGGCTGGGGTTACTTGGAATATCTAGGATGACTTGGATAAGAATGACTGGGTTGAGCCGGATTACTGGGATAACTAAGATGGCTAGGGTGTTTAGTATTCTTCCAGCTTTTAAAAAAAGTGTTTGTAGCGAGTTAGGTGAATTTTGTCTTATTGCAAAATACAGACTACCATTTACGTTGAAAATGTCAATAAAAAAAGCTTAGAATCGATTAAAGCAGTGCATGGAAAAGAAAGCCCTAAGTGACTTTCCATGAACTGCCTTATTCTCCTGAATTGTGTCATAATCGCCTGTGAAACAAACGAAGAATTAACATGACGCCAATAGTTAGCAAGGGCCTTATTCCATTCTTATGCAAGCCTTGTCAAGGTAGGTTTCAAAGCCATCTTTAAAAGGTTTATACACACTGACAGTTTGGAATTACACAAACTAATAAGGTCGTGTTCTATTGGGACCAACTGTTTCCACGGCCAAAATCGTTTGGAAAGTGTCTATAATTAATTCAACCCAAACCGGTTTTTTTGGTTGAAAACGTTGGTTCCAAAACAACACGACCTAAGATATTGACAGTAGTAACGGAATTACTCAACAATCAATGCGTCTATATACGCACATGCGCGCCCGCGCGTACAGTTGAAATTTGGAAAAAAATATTTTTTTTTTACTTTCTTGAAAACATTATTCTTATTTAATCAGAACGAATGATGAATTTTTTTTCGCATTATATTACTGTCTTTGTGTTAGTATTTCCTTTATCCGTTTTTTATTCCATAAACCAAAGGTAAAAAAAAGTTAGGGAGCTTAAGCAACGTGACGACGACGGTTACGGAAACGTCACTTAAAAAGTGTAAAAGACTGGATCAAAGTTTAGGAAAAGAAAAAGAAAGTTGTTTTCTTGTGTTCACGTCGTCCACAAAACGTCAAAATATCGGGATTTATCCGTGTCTCGTAGATCAATTATATTAGGTATTTTCACTTTGTAGTCGTGCAGTGACGGCAAAGAAATGTACAAAAAAGCGTGATGCACGTGCAGAGTTATGTTTTGCCGATCTAAACCTCTTGCTTTTTTGCCGTTCTCGTCATTGACGTCACCGTCGTCGTTACTTCGGCTCCCTGGGGTGAGAGACGGTGGGCTGATGGAGCCCTCTTGCTGCCTCTTGCAATTCTGCAAAAGCACAAGCACAAAGACGTTGACATTGGTAGCGTTGCAACAATTTTCCCGTCTTAAGGGTAGACGTCTCGCCCTTTGCTTCTGGTAATCTCCTTCGAATTCATGGCTTCATTCGGCTGTTTAGGCATTTTTTCGCCGTAAACACTGTACCTTACCGATAGCACTCAGTAGAGGTAGGTAAAATAAGCAACTAACCATACTGCATTTTTCTTCGTATTTGTTTACTAAAAATGAGAAAAACGCAAAAAACGGCAATTCCGAGATCCTACGTTTCAAACTATTCTGGGGGTGAGGAGGAAGGGAGGGGGGATGTGATGGGGCGATAAAGGCTAGTACTGATGGGCTCCTGAGAAGTTACCGGATACGATTTACACAAGCAACGAAATTACAGGAGTTCTCGGGTTACACAAGCATGCAAGGGTATCCAATAGATCTATTAGCGGTTCCTCCTGGAATTTTTGCTGGCTGGAAACGTAACTGTTAGAATCGCTCCTGGGGAAAAAAAATTAACCCATTATAGGGATTTGTCTGGGTAAAACGAAAAAATGGTTGAATCAAGCGGTCATTTTGTTGCACAAGTAACGATGTTACAGATGTTACGGAGTTTTACAAGTGAAACGAACCACCCGGGCCAAGCGCGTCACAGGTGGAAAAAGTCACAGAATTTATACGAATTGTTTTGAACAGTTTTTTTTATCGGCTTAGATTCCATTTTGAGAAATTTTCAACTTGAATCTGACGTTTGGCTTCATTCTGTTGGTTGTTTTTGTTGTCTTTGACGATGTCCCCCTGGCTCTCCCCGTAGGGGGATCATTGCCCTATGATGCATGATGACGTGTCAATAAGTCCAGCGGTTTCACGCTCCAAAATTCAAAATGGCGGAGAGCGACGATGAAACTGGACTTGTCGACGTGAAGGTATAAGGTTTATAAATTAAATCAAAGTAATTCCAGCGATCTATTATAGTTGGAAATTTTCAAAGTCAGATGAACGTTTAGCTTCTTTCGTTCGCAAGTCTTTTCGTTTCCATATATTTGTGAGTGCACCACTTTAATTTGCAGATTAGACTGGCTTATTCTGCAAGCTAAAAGTGATCCCAGTATGTCCAAAAACAAACCCTTTATCAAAGCCCTTTTAGATGAAAAGTTAAACTTCCTGGCCTTAATTTGGTAACACCCCATACATTTACTATGCTCAAATGTTTCGAGTCTATAACTATTCATATTAAGTGTTTGTGTGAAATAGTATGAAATTATATTACTGCATGCATGATTTCTACTCAGTTTAAACAAGGGTAGTGTAAAACGAAGACTGCGTGCGGAACAATAGTCCCATTGTCTTCTAACCCTAAAAACAATAGTCCGCAATCAGTACGCAGTCTGCATTTTACACACTGCACCATTTGAAAATCTTGATTTTTGGTTTTAACTGTGGACTTGTTTTAGATGGAGGGAGACGTTGAAGGACTGGAAGACTTGAAATTCCAAGGTTTGTTCCTCATCCAAAAAAGTATTTTAACAAGAGGCTTCAAGAAATATTATTCGTTTTAGTCTTTCAAGTGGCCAGCTTTGAGGTTGTTGGGGAGGGGGGGTTAAGTATGGGTAGGGGTGTGCAGCTAAGGCCCTCAAACCTTGACCCTTTTTAAGAAAAGAAACCCTTTTGGGTGACTAGTAATGAGGTGACTTTCAGCCAACTTGACTGGTTTCTGCAAGCTTGTTTTGAACATGCCATACACAGCTCAAGGTTCTGGCGACTAAAAATTCTGGGTTAGTTGCCACTTTGGCGACCAGATTTCCCTATGATTTAGATTTGAATTAAAAGAGTAAAGTTAAAACAAACATTTCATCTTATCTTGCTTTGCCTTCGTCGTTCAAAATGTGCCAAATCGCATAAACAAAGCTAGTTTCCCTCCAAATTTATACTGACTTCTGTCCGCAATATTTTCAAACAATCAAATCTGATCGATCATGCTATACTATGAGCTGTATCATTTACATTATACAAACTGGCAACTAAAAATTTGCATCTGGCGATTAAAAAAATCCTCAGGTCGTTTGGTAACCAACTGGAGGAATGGTGGCCAAATGACCTTGTCCCGGTTGTTCAAATGTTGGATAGCGCTATCCACCGGATAAATCACTATCCAGCGGATAAGTATTAGGGAAACTAATTGCGCTATCCATTGGATAGATTTTTATCCGGTGGATAGCGCTATCCAGCCTTTGAACAACCGAGGCCTGGGGATGTTTTTAATTTCGAGCCCTGATACATTAAACTAATTTCACCAAGGTAAACACTCTTCTTTTAAGGAGATTCTTGTAAAGGTTTTATTAACTTGTTACTACTTTAATCTATTTGTAGACATTATATATATATTTTTTCTTAGATTTCAGTAAAGTTGATGATACCAATAACCTAAACACTGGGGGTAACATTGGTGAGGACCCTACAACAGTTACAGCTCCAAGTAACATCAGAACTCAAGCATTAGATGACTTCTCAGATGGCAAGTATAATGTGACAAACTAGTCGCATAAGTAATTTTTTAATCTTTCCATAAGTTGGTGTGCTAGGTACTGCTAACAGGAGCGTAGCCAGCTTTTTGACTATTTGTAAGCCTGGCTTACTTTCATTTCCACATATCCTGAAAACTGCATGCGTGACTATAGTCTGACCTCACCAACACTTTGACCTCTTAAGCTTTTTAGGTCACCCCCACAGCGCATAATTTACTACGAGCAGTAGAGTGATCAAACTAAAAAATTGTGGGTTTCGGCCTACAGGTCTTTGGGCTGGCTATGCCCCTTGCTAATTTAGCAATGAGAAAGAGTGCACAACAGCCTGTATTTTGGGTAGGTCAAGAATGCAAAAATATGGTCAAAGAAAAGTCCTGGAGTTAGAGTACATGTATAACATAATGCGAGCTGTCAACAGAGTTTTGACTACTCAACAGCTTATTTTTTAACCCACTTGTCAGAACAGTTTTTGCAGGCTAGCAGTGAGATAAAATGTGTTAGTCCCTAAGTTCCAGAAAGAACTCTGTGTAAATCAACTACTTTACAACTGCACCTTTAGTTCAACTAAACAATTTGATTTTGGTTTTAATATTCATTTGTAGATGATGAAGAAGACAAAACAGAGGTATGTCGCATTGAAACTGACTCCCATTAATGTGTATACCTGCATACTCTTAAATGTTACAGTCAGTGGCACAGTTTTTGAGATATTGACATCAAAGGTCTTTATTTGGGAAAAACAACCTGGGCTCCTTCAATTCCCCCTCTCCAAAGCCAAAGTTGAAGGTGGCTTGTTTTTTACTTCCGTCAGGAAGCTTGAAAGTGACACAATGTTGTTTGTGGGAAGAGAGAAATGGCCAGCTCTTTCTTCTTTCAAGTACGCAATGTAGACAGTGTCGCCATGTTGTTGAGAACATTAAATGTTTTAACCATCAAATTTTGCTTCTTATCGTAGATTTATTAATTATTTGATTTAACAAAGGAATTGAATTGAATCTGTGGCTCACTTCTCCTACACTTATCAAAGAACTTAACGTTAAAATGTGTTGTTTTTGCATCAGCTCTTAGCAGGACAGAGAAAGCAGCCTCCATTCTGGACATTTGAGTATTATCAAACATTCTTTGACGTCGATACTTATCAAGTAAGAAAGGTTTAACTTGATTCTGTCATCACTTAGAATGATCATCTTAACCAAAAGACAACAGCAGCTTCTTTTCATTTCTAAGATCCAAAAGAGTAAAGTGCCTTTGTTTTTCATGCAAAGTGAAGTTTCAAACATCCATTTCTGGAACATGCAAGACACAGTGGAATACAAATTGCAGTTTCATTACACCATTTCTGTTGTCCGTACTCTCAAACACCATAGCTCTGCACTCATGAGCATGTGAGAAATCTCTCAGTTATTCCAAAATATTTGTTTTTCTTTATAACTTCAAATCAGCCATGGTATTTTTTTTGCAGGTTTTGAGAAGAATCATTGGCTCAATGGTACCTGTTTACAGCAAAAATTATCTAGTTTCTTTTATTCGTCCCAATCCTGATTTATATGGTAAGCATTACCAGTGAAAAATATATTTTAATTATTAGTATAAATTAGTATGAAATTATTATTATAGTCATAGTCATTGCTGTCCAACACCTCCCTACACTTTTTTAGATCTACACTGTACACTGAAAATCTATCAGATGCCTATGTAGTATCCGGCTCTTTAGAACCTGTAAAATCTTTCTCTGCATTTTGTGTAGCATGTAGCTCTATTGTTTCAGGGCTAGGGTCCATTGTTTATGCCTTTGTTTGTTTATTGTTTGCTTAGTTAATCCCAGAAGCCTTGTAAGAGCTACATACTGTCGTGCCTAGATTTGGTCTCTGCTGTTCTTTAGTCATTTTCTTTCACTCTCTGCAAGGCATACATCTCTTCAAGATGAACACATACATGTATGAAGGAAAATAAAATGGTATCTAAAATATTTCACTAATGGAATGTTCTTTGCTACTGCCCACCTACTCCTCCCCTAAGCTAACATTAACACTTACTTCTCACTTAGGGCAAAATGATGGCTTTGGGGAGGGGTAGGTGAGCAGTTTCCCAGACACCTAAATTGATACATTAATGTGACCCTTTTCAGGTCCTTTTTGGGTGTGTGCAACTTTAGTGTTTACCACAGCTATAACTGGTAATCTTGCAAGCTATCTCGTCAGTGCAGGAGACCATGAATGGGTTTATGATTTCCATAAAGGTATATAATATGTTGTGGTTGAAAGTTTTCTTTAGTTTGAAACTTTGTACTGAGCTTTAATTTTACCAGTCTTCTACATTCCATTTTTTTTTGCTCATATCAGATCTGTTACTATCCATTATTATTTCATATGTTTGTCTTAAGGCCCAATGAGCCATTTGCCTGTTGATCCCATTTTACAACTTCTTCTTCTACTGCTATTATCCAGTTTGTTCTTTCTTATGTTGTCTTCGAAATTCGGTTATCCCAGTGAGGTTTGAATGACAGGCTAGAAGCACTAATTTTCACAACAAAGCAAAACCCTTTTCATTGTGGTAATAATTCAGTAATGTGACATCATTGTGCAAACAGTGGCCTGTTGAACAGATCCAGTTGCTCTGGACAACTTCATCCAATGCAACAAAGCCTCATACATGCATGTATGCCAGGCATCCTCTGCCATGCATACCTAGTTTAAATTTTATCATAATTTTAATTATATTTTCATATGCTTTCTTTGTAGTGACATTTGCTGCAGTTGCGATCTTCTCATATGCCTTCCTGGTGCCTACAGCTCTCTGGGGAGTCCTTCTTTGGAGAAAGAGTAATGCGGGATATTCATTCTTGGAAATCCTCTGTGTGTATGGCTATTCCCTGTTCATATATATTCCCATATCAGTAAGTTTTACTACTTTTCTACAGTGTAAAGTGAATTCCCTATTTGCCTCAATTGCTTGATTTAATTCTGAAAGCAAAAAATAGATAGACAAAATAACAGTTAGTGCTGCACTCCTGAGTGGGGGGTTGGGGATGGGTGTATTAGCCTAATAAAACATGCACAGAATCAAAACAAGTTTCCCTAAAGGGTTGGGAGGGTGAGTAATGTTGTCACTTTGTTTGGAACACTCTTTGTTTAGTGACTGCAAACTCCAGTGACAAGAGCTTATGTCCCCATGCTAGACTGTCACTTAGATCAATGTCAATCATCATACCTGAGATAATTATACAGGAATAACATTTTCATTCCTCTATTAAACCATTTACGTCAGACCAAATTGCTGATGATGCTCGGCTTTTTCTCCAAGGTTCTCTGGGTTGTTCCTCTGGAGTGGTTAAGATGGCTTCTTGTTATGTTAGGAATGGCCCTTTCAGGTAAATAATATATAATACATGTATCAAATAAACAATTTTGTGATAAATAACTTAAGCTTTCTTGTAATTTTTAATGTACATGTGCATTTTTAGTTCATTATTTTCCCCTAGTCTAATAATATTATTATTTTGTTGATTTTTTTTATTTTTCTAATTCTTTAAAACAGTATGCAATCTTATAAGAAAAAAATGTTATTGATTTAAATTTTTTTTTCGGAAAATTTCTTTCAAAACCTATTAAAAATTAAAAATTATTTTAGGTACTGTGTTGCTGTTAACATTCTGGCCTGCAGTGGAAGATGATGACAAGAAGGTAAAGTCCCCATGAAAATTAGTGTTATTAGTGGAACAGAACACCCAAGGGGGGCAGGCTGAGTACATGTAAGTCTGCCCCAGTGTAAGTTCACTTTGTCGTATTTTAAAGTTCAATGATCCATGTTATGGGTACACTCTCTTCTTTTAGCTGTAAACAAAAGCCTTACATGGTTAGAAGTACACCATTTTACTTGATTGTTTACAAATGCATCTTAGCAGTGATTGCATTGGTCTTGTTTTGCAATGACTAATAT